ATATTATCTGTTACTGAATCTGTTACTGAATCTTATTATTCCCGAAATCAATAACTTATCGACTTCGGCCGAATAGACTTCGGAAAATTTTTTAGGGTGTCCCAGAATTTATGAAAACAGCTGTAATATGGCTGTGGGGCTATGTGTTGCTTGGGCGTTGATGGCACATGTCATTGCATCATTTGCATATGATCCTTCGCCTTCAATCAGTTTCCTTTTGCGAATTGGCGACCCGGCTTCGTTCGGTGTCCACGTGTGGCTCCCTCGCTTTTCGATCACGTGAGTTACCATCACTCCTCAGTATATGGTTCCTCGCACAAATATTGCACAATTTGAAATTATCACATGGTCTCTACATGAGACACTACCAACAATGGTCAGACAATGGATATCTGCTCAGGGGAAGGACCGAATTTTTTTGTTTGAAAGCGCCCCTTGAAAATGAATTTCCATTTTTATTACAAATATTTTGTTGTTTATTGTTGTGGACAACATTCTACAAAATTTGAGTCACATAAATTCTCCTTCCAACTTCAATACTGCAGGTGATCATTTGTTTAATAAAGAGCGAACCATAAGAAGAGCCTGTTGATAGTGGAATGGTAAACTATTTATCACTGTTTTCGAAATGGTTGGGAATAGCAATATTTACAGACCAAAATTTTTTTGCGAATACCCGATTAGTTTAGAACATTGATCGATGATCGAATCCTCATACACAGAATGTAGATTTGTAATTGTTATGTATTAGCAATTATATTTGCTATATTAACAATTACATGAAGTCGGGCATCAATAATCAATCAATGTTCTAAACTAATCGGACATTCAAGTATTCAGGTATTTGCAAAAAAAAAAAAAAAATTTTTTTTATAAATTCTACTATTCTCAACTATTTCGAGATTTAAATTATTTTCATTTTGATTACAACAAGCGGCCTGTTGTTCAAGTTCATCACAACCAGGGCTAAAACGACGTATAGTAAATTCCGGTCATCCAAAGTATCGTTCTTGATATATAATTGTTGCGATCAAAGAACAATAGCAATAATAAATAAGAAAATTTTATTAGCTATTTAATACTACATATTTATAACTTAGATAGATCAAAAATGATATTTTGGGTGACAGGAATTTACTATGTTATTTTAGTCCTGATCACAACTTTCGAGTGCATGATTATCTGAAAAACATGATTCGAAACTGTACTTGAAGCATATGAAGAGTCTTGAATTAAATTGGTGTAGTGCATGTATCAATCGTTGGAAAACAAGAATTTAGGGAAGGCTCTAACAATAAGCATAGCGATTAAGATAAAGAAGAAGACGATACGATACAATGATGATTGGATAACATAATCGTAATCCTTGAAGGTTTTGTAAATGAAATTTGGTATTATATTAAGACCGGTTTTAATTTTAGATAGATTGACTCAGAAAGTAATTTCCTATGAAATATGTAGACATTAAAAAAAAATTCTATTTCTGTTTTGAAATCGAAGTCAAAAAAGAAATTTTTTTTTATTCATTATTAAATAAATAAATAAATAAAAGTTTATAGAACACTTATTCGGAGCAAATACAGCATAATTTTATTCGAAATCAGAAATCCGATTATTCGTCTAAATAACAACATTGTCAACTAAGCAAATATTTATACGTGAATTTCCAAAATTGGAGATCAGGTAGTTTTTAAATTGATTACAGTACTATATAATAAATTTTTAAATTAAAAATCACGTGATGCAGATAAATTACTTCCTGGATTTAGACGATCCCAAAATTGTACTGTGTGCTATAGCGTTGGATTCTGTATGAATCACCCGAAGTATTTTGTGTGAATTCGCCCAGGATATTCTGTGTAAATTTATAAAAGAAGAATTCTGTATAATATTAAGAATAAAAGGTGAACCTTGAACAAAAAGTTGTGGTATAAACATTGTTCTCCTTCCATTACCCACCCCCCAATAACTACCACAAAAATGCTCCCAAATACTTGCAGATTCAATAGAGATTTTGATAAACTGAAGAGATGTATTCCTAGCAGGGCTTAACCCACTATATTGATTTGCCAGCCATTCGAAAGTACCATTCTTGATCTATAGTAGATCAGATAGTGATTGGCCGGTATAGTAAACAATAAGATGTACAATATACTAATTTCGATGAATCAAAAGAACACTTTAAACAATAGCAATGGCGCAGTAAATGGCCGGCAAATTAATATAGTGGGTTAAGCCCTGATTCACAGCTTATCTTCTGGAAGTGGGTGTAGAAGTCCATCAAAGTGACCCTACGTCTCTGACGACAAAGAAATACTTACCTCAGAAGAAATCAAAGAGCTCAAGAAATAAGGGAATTAACACTTATTATGTAAATATAAACTCCCCCATTCGACAATTACAAATTATAATGTAATAAAAAAACGTAATTGATAAAATTGATTACATTAGAATTTGCAATTGTCAAATGGGGAGGCTATATTGTTAGTTCCCTAATAAATGAACCCTTTCGTAGTCCTGTTTACATTAAAAACGTTAGAAAATATACAGATATAAGAAATGAAAAAGAATCAGTAGAACAATCTCGCAAGAGTTTTGGCTTTATTATGAAAAAGAAAGTGCTTACCCAAAAAACCTTCACAAGAATTAGTACCCAGTGGGTCCCAGAAGAGGATGAAGAATTGGAAGACCTAATCGATATATATCTGGAAGTCTTGAAAATTTCATACCATAATGGCGAAAAGGTAAAGCGTCTATTCATTATCAGAAACTTGTTGAAATTAATGTCGAAAAGGACGAATATAATAAATTTGAATATTGTTGCACTTTTCGAGATAACAGAGGTATTAAAGAAGCGTTTGTATTGTACTATCGATAAGCCATTATCCATTCGTCTATTAGGTAATTGAAATCTAATAGATAATTGGTTAAAATAAATTAATAGATGAATAACCGAATAATTTGATATATTATTCGGATTCACTTGACAATTACAAGTTCTAAAGCAATCAATTTATACTGTTGATTACATTAGAACTTGTAATCTCTAATATATCAGATAATTCGGTTTAATTCGTTTGGATTTGGTTTAATGAGATTAATATCTAGATACAGCGTGTGGATGGCGGATTGGAACTCTAAGCGTTTAAATGGTGTGCGAAACAAGCAGTAGGTGGTACCACTGCTTGTTTCGAATTGGCACCTGCTAGGTTGAATAAACAAGTAATCTTGGAGTCTGTGTTAATGAGGATGAATGAGAAATGAAGGACAAATCGAAAGACAGTGTTGACGATGTGTCTAGTATTACGAAATGAGAAAGAAGTAGCCATCGCTGACTACACAAACAATCACGTAATATAGGATTTGATGGCCTGGTCCTAGATCTAATCGATAGTTATGTCAATGAAGAATCCTTGGGCGAAAAAGATGAATCGATGTTGTACAGAATGAACCTCTCTGGCACTCAATAGTTATCAGAAATCCGTGGATAGAAATCAGCAAAATTAGTGACCTTGATCAAAATTGTGAAAAAAAAACCGACAATAAAAAATTCTTACTCGTTATCAAGTATGCTATATACCAGGTTAATACGACAAATAATCTTGAATAGTTTATGAAAATAAAAGATAGAGAATGAAGAAAATAAGACCTTCATTTATTATCAAAAGTTCACCGATAAAGATCCTCCTAGTGGAATAAATATGGTTGGGAATCATCCAGAAACGAAAATGAAGTTGTAAAGCGTGAAATTAAGCTTTATTGCTACTATGAAAATATAACCGGTGAAGGGATTACTGGTGAGCATAAAATATTTGAGTGGTATTTAAAGTGATCTTAGGACGGAAATTTGAACGAAAACAATGGCTTCGGAAATTGTGAGCCGATAGAATTCATAGTGCTGGTTATTATTGACAATTAAAAGGATGAAAATGAGGAATTCATTCATTATCAAATAAATAAGAGCTACTATGATAGAAAGAAAAACGAAGGTAATAGCAATGAAAATAGCGAAGATTCTGTCGAAAAAATGAAATTTAAGTCGCACCTGCGAATTATGGATGAGAAGATTAACAGAATTTAGAAGAATGACAAGCGGATAGAAGGGATTAATCGAAGAAGAACGTCAATACCTGAGCAATCATAAGATTTGGAGTTGATATAATGGATCTGATACATTCGCATTAAGCAACCAAGGAGAAATCTATAGCCGTACATATAGATTTTGATATAATCTGCGCTATGTTTGTAATTAGACCGATAGTTCACACTCCAATGTACTTCGTACTCCATTCCTGGTGTAGTAAAATATTTCTATCGTTTTTTCGGGAACCAAATTCCTGACAAAAATTGACTGAAGCTATAGCTAATGCTAATATAATGCTAACCTAAGTGGGCTAACTTGTCAGAATTTTGTTAATCGGGAAAAATAATAAGATCTGATAACAAACTATAATCATAAGTTCAAACACTTACTTAAGCGTCTCTCGCTTAAGCAACTATAATTACTTGTTTACCAAAGGAAACCAACTTCTACAGTATATTAATAGTCTAGACCCGAATTTCTCCCCAGACCGTGTCACCATTATAATTCAAGCTTAGTTAATTTTATTTGATTGGCTTTTTTGGATTATCTCTTTCAGAAATGGTCACATTAGATTTTTGATTCTAATTAAAAAAGAAAAAATTAATAAAATTAATTCACAGTAAGTTAAAAAATTATTGGCATAACTCGGCATGTTATTAGCCCAAATTACTTAATATATTGGGGAGTCATCTATTCATACAAAGCTGGAGAAGAAATTCCGCTATTTTTGTATAAAACCCAACAAATGCGTACTAAGCGAGCTTATGAATTTGCTAAAGAAGTTTCATAATGTTTCCTTATTTATCGGAACCATGTACCTTAGCTCATATATATCACTTGCAGATTTGAAAGTATAGGAATTCCACCAATAAAAAAATAAATTTGTATTCACAACAACCTCCAACAACATTTAACTTACACTTATTCTTTTTAAAAAAAATTTTCTAGCAAAGTTCCTTGTACGATTACATATAAAGTGTACTTCAATAAATTATGTCAAGTCCGTTTTCTAAGCAGTTCAGTAAAAAAAAAAAACTTCAGTAAAAAACAATACTTCAACAAAAAAATACTTCAAAAAAAATACTTCAGTAAAAAAATACTTTAGTAAAAAAAATATACTTCTGTATAAAAGAATACTTCAGTAAAAAAAAACTTCAGTTTGACTTTGTTTTCTCGGACTAAACTAACCTGACACGAAATTATACGTTTTTTTTTTCAACTGAAGAAAAAAACAAGGAGAATACAGTAATCGTGTAAACAATCAAATCATTACATCAATAACGCATCATGATCGTCCAATCGCCGGTTATATTATGTTACACCAAATCATGATTTATTTTTGACCAATCAAAGATTTAACACGAAATATGACTACAGTAGTTGGAAAGATAGGGTTCATAAAACCGGTAAATCAAACCATAATTAGATTATTAATATTAAAATAAAATCACATCTCTACAAAAAATGTATTCAAAGCTTAAGGTTTGTAAATACTATAGCAGATAGACACGTAGGTTAAGTTTATTTTATGATAATAAAAATTTTTTTTTTGATATGGTCATTGTGTTATGTTTATATACGTACATATGTTACGTATCACTTTTAATAAAATTGACACGTTAATGATTTTATCAAAATCTCGAAACGAAAAATGGGGGTGAGTCAATAGAAATCAAGCAAATTTTTTATAATAAAAATTTTTTATAACTTTAAACAAAAATAACCTTGACCAAATTTAATAAAAAATTTTTTAAATAATCCAGTTTTTAAAAACTTATTAAAATATTTGTTTGGTTTCTATTGACTCAACCCCAAATGTCTACTATTACTATCACGACTTGTTACACTGACCGCAGATCATCACGGGAACTTTCAATTCTCGATTTTCATTGGTGTTTTCCGACAAAATTGCATGAATTGCATTCGAGTTTGATCAAACAAATTGTTATAATGTAATTAAGCTTATGCCTAAAATGTTAATTTTATTCTTTAATATTATGTGATGACTATTTTTTGTATATTATGGATTGAATATACTTAAATGTTATAGACGAGAAATTCTTAAATACTATGAGCTAGAGTTCTTGAATTTTTTTTTCTCTTGAATATTACAATTTTATCATTTTAATTTTATTTGGTTCCAATTTAAATTAAAGAACAGAACTTTTTTAATATAGGCATAATGATTTCTATACTTCAAGTACAGTTTACTTTCATACCAATTATCATGAGTTTCGAGAAATCGATCAAATGACTTATGGCTTAATAATTTAAGTGAATACTCGATTTAATGGATATGATGGCATCCTAAAATTTCTTTAAGGTTGAATCAAATTAAGAGGTTGCTTTGTTAAAGATACTCGAATAAAGATCTCTTGGTATCGCCAAAAAATCAATTACTTATCCCGAATTTAAGAATTTTTAAATTAACACCGAAAGATTAAGATTCAAATATTTCTCATAGTAATATGACAAAGCTAATCTACAGAAAAACTTTTTTAATAGATAATAACTTTGTAAAATAAAAATCTATTCGTAAAAAGTTGACCAAATTTTTAGAAACTAGAGCCTATCACTGTGACTGTAAACATGATTGAATTATTTCCTAAAGTGATATTATATAATATTACCTGATGATATATAGAGACGAGATGATTTAGCATATTCAAGACAAAAGTAGACAATACTTTATATCTACTAGTAATAAAATAGCGACGTTCATAGGTATTTGATAAATAAAATTTTGCTTAAATTTTCAATTCTAACATAAGTCGCAAAATTCATTTTAAGTTGATTCCCGTATCTACAGATGTATTACATTATTCTACCTTTATTCTATGAATGACATTAAAAATAATTTTTCAAATATTACGGATTTTTTATATTACAAAACGTTTCAAAGCTACAGAATATTGATGGGTTTTCACGAAAAATCGAATGGTAAGGATGAATACTACTAAAGAAATAATACTACCAATGAATACTCCAATAATTATACCGATGTTTCTGATTGTTATAATTGTATTATTCGAAATTGTTTTTAGTGTGAATTCGGTAACCCATTTATAGGAATCTTTCTGGCTCACGTCCAACATAAATATTTTTGATGAAGCACTATCATTTAAATATAGACCTGTTGAAAAAAATAAGGATTTATCAAGTTTAAATAAAAATTTATATATAAACGGCACAAAAAAATAATTAAATATTTTACCAAAATTAATAAACATATAATCATCTACTAATGTCGCAGTATGTCCTCTAAGAGTTAGATCCATAATTGGATTTAAAATGTTTCCAGTTGACCATTGATACATTGCAGTATCTAAAATCCAAAGATCACCGAAAGTTATAGTTTCATTTCTACCGCCAAAAATTATAATACGTCCGTCGGTAGCTTTCAATTTGAATGATTAATATAAGAAACTTGATGATACTTTAAATATCAGCTTATACATACTTAATACCGCCGAGAAATAATAACGAGCAGGAGGAATTTGACCAAATGTACTCTAACGATATAAAATATTTAGTTACCAGTTGCTAAGCCATAATGAAATTTATAATTTTCGTTTATTACTTACTATATTCGTCCACGTATCAGATTTTGTATTATATAATGGTAACTATAAAGCTTTAATAATTAAGCTAACAGATTAATTTTATCAAAGATAAACACTTACATTATTCATTAACTTATTATGTCCACCAATATATAAAATATTTCCATCAGGCAAAGTTATTGCACAATAACCAGATTGGGATAGAGGTGCGTTTGTTGCATTGCTTAAACTCCATGTTAATGTTAATGTATTATATATCCAAAGTTCATTTGTATCATAAGTTGAATTAATTGAGCCACTAAAAATTGTAATCAATCCATTATTAAATTTAGCACATGAAATATCTGTTCTATCAGCAGGTACAATTGCACCTCCAAAAACCGGGTTATGAATCCATTGTAGTTGATTCGTATCAAATTGATCAACGAATGGTTGATTATTAAAAGGTAAACCACCAAAAACAAACATTATATCATTATTTTTTCCACCAATACATGCTGTAGCATATTCTTTCAAAGGACTACCAGTATAAGTAAGGTCATTCCATGATATTGAGTTATTGTCTGTTATTGTAAATGGTTTAGAAACATCTAAATAAAAGAATTCATTCGTAGGGTTATTAAGACTAATAAATTTAAATCCGCCACTAAAATAAAGTTTTTTATCAATAAGGACTGAGGATTGAAATGCTCTTCCATCTGGAACAAATGCTGCAAATGTAAAAATAAAATTTAAGAGAAACCCGAAAATATAAAAACAAAAATACATCATAATAATATACATTATTAAATAACCGGATAGAATAGTAACTAGCTATTTATAT